GGTGTTGTGAGAATGATGACGTCAACATATGTACGAATGTGCTAGACGCAAATGACATATGTACAGATTGTGATGAGTTGTATGAGCCCCTAATAAAATGAATATTTAATAATAATAATAAAAAACACCAAAAATACGACAGCAAAAGATGGAAGCAGCCAAAATGTGGATCCGTGGATTAAAAAGGCATCGGCACATTCGTACAATGGAACACTATGCAGTCTGTGAAACACCTCTCAGAACGGATGGGCCTGGAGAGGACTGTGCTGAGAAAGACTGGGAAAGCACAGAAGGACAGAGAGCACAGGACACCACGCGTAGACAGAGTCAATGACAGGTTTCCCCACGGAGAGAAATATGTACACACACACCCCGTTATCGGGTATGGAAGGGAAAGGGAGAGGTGTAACGCAAAACAAAGATTGTCATTGTTGTTAGGCATTACCTGTTGTTGGGTGTTAAGGGCCGTAATGCAGAAAACCGTATGGCGCAGTTCTGCGCTGTTATCCAGTGTCACCGGTGACTATGGTTCAAAATCAGCAGCACACACAACAGGGAAACAGGTCTTCGCTCATTTCGCCCTCCCTTGCGCTCCCCTTGTTACTCTTCACTAGAGAGCCAAAGCCCAGTGCCGCTGGCAGTCAGTGCTGACTCACAGCAACCCTCTACATGGCTGTACATCTGCACTGGAGCACACAGCCTCGTGTTTCTCCTGAGGAGTGGCCGATGGATTTGAACTACTAATCTTGTGGACAGCAGTCCAATGCTTACCTGACAGGGCCACCAGGGCTTCTTTTCAGTAACAGTAAGGCCGATACAGCCAGCCAAACTCTCCCAGCCTCTTTTCTGTGCAAGGAAATGGGCGGCAGGAGCCTGGACCCCACTCAGAGTCTACACAACTCTTTCTGGGAAATGCTTGCTGGCATGTCCTCACCTTCTGCTTGGTCATGTCCAAGAGGCCCACGGAGTATCGGTCGCAGTTGAGGAAAGCACGGACAGTGTACAGGGCCTTGTGAAATTGTCTCTCGATGTCTGTAAGCTCTTCGAAAACCTTGCTCCCAGACCACAGCAATAGCTGAAGCAATTTTAAAGAGGAAACGAAAACGTTGCTGAAACACACCAAGCCAGTTAGCTAGAGATTACTGACAATAATTTCATAATATTCCCTAGAGTTGATCTCATTTAATTCTCACAGTGCTCCAGGAGATAGACAGGATAATGATTCCTTTTTAAAAAAAATTGTACAAGTATTTCTTTTTCTTAATTAAATTCATTTATTGGGGGCTCGTACAGCTGTTTTCACAATCCATACATTCATCAATTGTGTCAAGCACATTTGTCCATACGTTGAATGATTCCTATTTTATAGACGGAGAAACGGAGGTTCTGAGAGGCAAAGTGATTTCCTTATATCAGGTACAATTCTTTTCTTTCCTTTTTATATTGTGGGTCACTTATCAAAATAATAATATCAATGTAAACTACATGCCAATAAAACTGTTGGAGGAAACGTCTGAATAAATTTATCATAATAAGCTGAATAATAATAATATCAAATATTGACCACAAATGTCTCCATACAGTATCCCATTTACTATTGATTATAATTTTTGAGGATGGTACCATAATCACATTCAATTTTCAAATGGAAAGACTGAAAACCAGAAACTTGAAGGGGGCGAAGTGACCTGGCCAAGCTGATAAATGGATGAGCAAGGGTTCAAACCCCAGAGTTTCTGACTTGGAAATGCTTGTGCGTGCACTCCCTCGGGATACAGCTTTGTAAACATCCACTACTTCCTAACACTAGGGATGCTGGGTAGCGATTGTCTGGTAGTTTCCTGGTAGTTTCCTGTCTCTGCAGCTCTGACCACGTCAGTGCTTTAATGAAAAGACATATCGCGTCCATTCCCTTACCTGGCCACGGCGAGTCTCACAGTTGTGCAGATAACTCAAGTGGAACACCTTCATGATCAAGTTTGCAAAATTGAGATACTTCAAGAGAATCTGAAAATCAAGTAGCATGAGAGGAAGTAGATGAGAAGAAGAAATTCCTCTTCTAGCTCCTTCTACCCCCAGTAGATGTCTAAATATTTTAAAAGCTTCATCAGTAGCAATTTGGACAGAGGTGTCAGACTGCAGAAGCACAAAATGTTGAATTCTAAGGTTGTGAAATTTACAAACTATAGAATGTTGCTGTTAACAAAATCAAAACCAAACTCATTGCCCTCGAGTCCAGGACTCAGAGCCACTCGGTAGCACAGGGTAGAACTGGCCCTGTGAATTTCCAAGACTCACTCATTATGGGAGGACACCTTTTGGCTTGTGGCCCAATGCGTACTGCTACACCACCCGGGCTCCTGATGATGTTGACAGGGATATGTTCATTTTAAAAACAGCTGCTATTGACTGTTTGCAGAACCTGTGGTGAGTGGTAGAAGCCTCGGTGGCACAGGGGTGAAAGCATTCAGCTGCAAACTAAAAGCTCAGCGGCTTGGACCCACCCGGCATTCTCAGGAGAAAGATGGGCCTGTCCGCCTCTGGAAAAGAGTTACAGGCTCAGAGACCCTGTGCGGCTGTTCGTTCCGCTGGGAGTGGCAGTGGGGGGTTGGTGATTGGCACAGGATTTACAGGAGTCCTAATGGTGCGGTGAGTTCAGCGTGGGTTGGTCAAAGTGATTTTGGTGCACCGTTTCTCTGCGTATCTCAAGTGCCCTGTGAAGTGGATACAATTATCATCCCAACGTTTCACTAAGGAAACTGGTTGAGAGAAGTTGAGAACTTGACCAAATGAGCAGCAAGCTACTGGCGGTGCCAGAACCAATCACCCTGCCCTTCCGGACTTGGAAGGCCAGTGCATTAGCTATGATTCTGCTCTGCCTCCTTCGGAGAGCCCATCCTGCCTTACAAATGGAGACACGGAGTCCAGTCCAAATAACAAGGTCTGGGAGCCTTCGCGAGCTATGGGGAATCGCCAGCACGCGTTCCCGGGGTGGTTTCCAGGCGTCCTTACCTCTTCGTCTCTCTGGGTGAAGTGGGGTCCATCCACTTTGTTCACAGCCATGATGATGGCCACCACGTCCTTCCCGTTCATGATGGGGGAGGCCAAGATGTGCTTCGTCTGGTACTCCGTGAGCGTGTCCACGAAGTCACAGAAATGCTGGTCCTGCAGGAAGGCAGAGCTAAGCACGGGCGAGCTGATGAGGGACACAATCAATGAAAGGCCCCAGCAGCCTGAGACCCGTCCACAGTGGGGTGGGGAGAAAGGAAAGGGGAGGAGGAAGGCTCTCGATTCTCTAGAGCGGTGGTTCTCAACCTTTCTAATGCCACGATCCTTTCATACAGTTCTCCCAACCATAAAATTATTTTTGTTGCTACTTCATAACTGTAATTTTGCTACTGCTATGAATCGTATATGCAGGCTGTATTTTCATTGTTACAAATTGAACATAATTAAAGCATAGTGATTAATCACAAAAACAATATGTAATTATATATTGTGAAATATTTACTTCTAATTACAAATAATGAAATTTTGTCTTGGAGCATGGTGTGTATCAGCATCCAGATTAAGTTCCCATGATGATTTTACAGTACATGATTTTACATTTACCCAGTAATTATCATTCATGACGTGTCGTTTTACCTCCAATATTGCAGCTTTCAACACAGTAGCTACTTTCAACACAACAGCTTCTATCTACACAGTAGGTGCTCGCTACACGTGTGACTAGTCTGCATAAGTAGAGAGTACATTATGGCTCTAACCCTGTCTGTACGGGGTGTACGTGATGGGGTTGGTGCAATGATGTCATCGCGCCAGGTCCTTGTATGTGGGTGTGTCTGCATGTGGGCGTACCTGTCTGGAGACAGATAGAGAAGCAGTGTCTCGGTTCCTATGGTCTTAGGCTACCCCTGTGACAGGGTTGTTCGACCCCAAAGGGGTCGAGACCCACAGGTTGAGAACCACTGATCTAGGCGATGACGAAGCGAAAACATTTTCATCTGTTCTCCTTCAGCAGGCCACTTCTAAGATACCTTTTCAAAGGGCTCATCCCTCCTTAAATATTCCTCCATCGCGGAGGAGGGAGGGCAGTCAGAGATGATTCCTGCGCTGGGAGACCCACAAATCCAGCAGAAGCCCTTGTGAGACAGACCAAAACCCAGCTGTGGACCGGACGTGAGGGTGGGATTGTGGGTTGGGTACAACTGACTTTGCCTGGAGAAGAAGCTACCAAAAAAAAGAAGTCTTTCCTGACGTGGAGACAATTAAACCCAAACAAACTAGAAACTGAGCGAGCTAACGAGAACTCTTCAAAATCTGGACCTGCACCGTTGCATTTTATTGCCCCTCTAGCTGTCTAACGCGTGAGAGCGATAACTCTTGACAGGAGAAACCCAACCCAAGGAGCTTCACGGTCCTAAGACAGGCACTCCAGACCGGCCTGCCGCCCTGCTGCCTCTCAACGAAGGCTGGAGAAGACAAGACCTGGGTCCAGACCACTGCGCAAAGAGATTTGACCGTTAGCCTTTCACACAGTCTAATTACAGCACCAGGGGCCCTGGTGGCGTCGTGATTAGGGGTTGGGCTGCAATCCTCAAGGTCAGCAGTTCAAAACCACCAGCTGCTTCTCGGGAGAACGATGAGGCTTTCTACTCCTGGAAAGAGCTGTAGTCTCAGAAACTCACAGGGGCTGTTCTACTCTGCCCTATAGGGGTTGCTGTGAGTTGGCACTGACTCCATGACAGTGAGTTTTGTTAGTGAGCTACGGTACCCCACAGTGGATGAAGACACATGCCCCGTGCTAAGTGTTGAGGATCCTGGGGTGACAAAGACCCAGGCCTGCTCCCAGATGAATCGGTCATAGTAGTGCAGGCGGTCAGCACGTGGCACTAAGCTGCAGGAGAGCACACACCTCCACCCCAACTCGCAAAGCAGGCTGGAGGCCAGGCCGGCTGCCACACAGCTCCTATGGCTCGAATGAAGAAACAGAGCCCGAATAGTGCTGTCTTCATTTCAGAAGAATCCACCTCTCTGTTCCCTGGTAGCACTCTGTGAGGTTTCTCAATGGTCAACATTGCCTGGGACACGAGCCAGTCCAGACATGAGCAGTTCACACTGTTCTGAGTCTGGAAATTTATTCCACAGAGCTGGCTCGCAGGACCTTTCCAGAAGTGAGTCAGCAGGATCTCCGGGGATTCAGGAATCCAGGGTGGGATACTCTACTTGTATGTGTGTCTTCTGTTGCCACGGGATTGGAAAAACAGGCCGCAGCTCGCTGTCAAAGAGGCTTTAAACCAGGTGAAGGGTAAAGGAATTAGGAGATGCCTGCAGTGCTTGAATTGTTATTTGAGGATTAAGCTAAATCGCTAAGGAGGCATTAGCCAAGAAGCGGTTTCTATGTCATTCTCAAGGATACTTACTTACTGAGGAGTCCCTGGGTGGGGCACTCTCAGATCCATGTCATAAAAGCAGATCAGTTGTGCAATATTCACCTTCGTCAAGAACAAGCCCTCAGGCCTCACCCGAGGCTGCTCCTAAGAGTCACAAGGACCCTCTTTCTCACCGACTTCCAGGCTTGGAACATCCTTACAGGTACACCAGGTCCAACTGGCCTCTCTCCTGCCCTTCAGCTACCAACAGAATGGGGCAATCATTGTCACCCCTCAGTTTTCAGCACGAAGGGTAAACACACACAAACCCCATGCCACAGAACCTCGGATTCTTAGCGGCAGAAAGGGCTTGGGATGCCACTGAGCTCAGCTGGCTTATTTTGAAGCCCAGGGACCTGAGCTGCAGCTAGAGGAAGTCCAATATCATTCACTCACTCAATCAGCGTTGACAGGGTGTCTTCTGCAGTCTGGGTCCCACTCTAGACCCCTGGACTATCGCAGGGAACAGAGAGGAGAACAATTTTGCCCTACTGAAGCAAACATTCTAATAGACAGACAACCAACAGCCAAAAATTCAACTACCATCGAGCCGATGCTGACTCATCGTGACCCTGGGGGTTTCTGAGACTGGAACTCTTTACCAGAGTAGAAAGTCCTGTCTTGCTCCCTGGGAGCAGCGGGTGATTTCGAGCTGTGGACCTGTGGCTACCAACCCAAGAAGCAAGCGCTATGTCAGCAGGGCTCCTCACATCACTGGGCCTCCTCTCTCTCAGGGTGGAGTGCTTTGAAGGAAACGGCAGGGTGGTGCTATCAGAAGGAACGGAGGGATGGTGGGTAAGGTGCTTTTAGAGCGGTATTGTGGTCAGGGAGCTTCTCTACAGAGGGGCTGCTGAGCTGATTGCTGAAGCATGAGGAGGAGCCAGGAGGAGCAAGAGCCCCCGATGGGTGAGGAATACACCCCACTGGGGGCAAAGACTAGGAGAAGGGAATGGGCTGCTCTGCTGTGTGGAACAGAAAGACCAGAGTCGCTGAAGGAGAGGGAGGGAGTGGGAGTGCGGAGCACAAGCCAGACAACAGGCAGGGACCAGAGCAAGCAGGGTCTTGGAGGCTATGGGGAGTTGAGATTTTATTCCAACAGCAATGCCCCACAGCTTCCCATGCCCGGATTTCCCAATTCTCCTTTCAAGCATCCACCATGCCAAGTTCCATTGTAACCCCGTAATACAATTTGCTCCTTAGTGAATAATTTGGGCCCTAGGTCTCACAGGAAGGAACAAAGCACAGAGGCAGAGCCTCTGGCAATGACGGTCTGCTCAGGTCCAGTCTTCAGGAACGGGACCTCCCGAGGAAGGTCCCTCATTGATGCCCTCATCAAAAAACTAATGACACTCTGCCCTCGGCCCTGGTGGAGCGCTCCTGTGGGAGAAAGGGTGCAGAAGGAATACACCAATCAGTAGCTATCGACTGGAAAGTCAGGGTGCCAGGATTAGGACATAAAAAACATCGATGTCCAGTGAGATTTGAGTTTCAGATACACAAAGGAACCATTTCTAAATATTAAGTATGTCTCCATATTGCAAGGGACACACTGCTTTGATACTGAAGCATCACACTTTGCTTATTTGCAAGTCAGACTTAACTGGGCACTCTGGATTTCACCTGGCCACCCTCCTGGCAGGTTTTCCCAAAGAGATCCCAAAGTTGAGTAAGCATTTTCTAGGAGTTGGGCCCCGGAAAGCCTCTCGGTTCACGGTTTCACATTCTTAAATGCACCGATGGCCGCCTTTCTCAGACTTATTTTTGAAAGTGCTGGAGAAAGGCTGCGAACATGGTATGTGTACCTGTCGGGGGCCCAGGTCCAGGCTGCATACCCTCCTCCTGCAGCAGCCATCCCCCGGTCGGTCGGGTACACAACCTGCATCCTGCCCAGCATCCTGAGTGAACGAAGTTTCTCCAAAGGAATCAGGAAAGAAGCAAACTCATGCCAACACCAAGGACACGAGGCTGGCCGCCCAGACGGACTCAGACCCGAGAGCCCCCAGGCTGCACTCGTGAAATGAACATTGAGACCTGGTTGGACAGGAAACAGTAGGCCGGCCCGGGCTCGAGGACTCAGGAAACCCTCAGGCCCAGACCTGTTAGAAGTAGATGTGCTTCCTGACTTCTCACTGCCTTCCCACCGGGGTCTGCAAGGCCCTCCGCCCTTCTAGTCCATGCTTCCCCGTGAAGAACTGAATCTCCAGAGAGGGCTGCGGGAAGACAAGCTGCCCTTCTCTGAGTCCCACTCCGCTCTGGTAGAGCGTCCATCACAGACCACAGAAGGACAGTGACCATCACGGGGAATAGGAGCAGCCACCAGCAGCCATTGGGGAATGTCAGGAACGGTGCTCAAGGAGAAACCACTTTCTCGCTTAATCCTTACAAGACTGGGAGTTAAAAGTGATGGCCCCCATTCCACAAACAACGAAAGGAGCCCCGAGCGGCTGAAGAGCCTGACAAGGCTGTATGCTTAAAAAGGGTCAGAGTCATGCGAGCCAAGATGCACACTCAGACCTGTCTCTCAAAGGGCATGCTTTTGGAACGCCTCACGCTGCGGGACCCACCATGCTGGTGGCGCTGGTGGCTCCAGCCCAAGACTGGCTCCGTGACGGAAAAGACTTGGGGACTTACTCCCATAAAGATTTCAACCCTATGGGGCTGTCCTACACGGTCCCTGGGGTCACTGGGAGTCAGAGTCTACTGGGCAGCACACAGCAGTGATCCCAGGCAAGGCGTTCTGGTGGCGATGTAGGCAAGCCCTGGCTGCTAACAGGAACGGGGCAGTTTGAACTCCCAGGAGCTCTGTGAGATAAAGACCGGTGATCTGGTCCAGATCTCCTGTCACATGGAGTCACTGTGTGTCAGATGTACTTGATGTTATCTGCTGTAACAACAACAACCACCAGAGTCCCAAGCCCCCGTTTTCTACTGAAGGAGGAAGCACAGAACCGTGGAAGGGTTACGGCCAAAGTGCCAGGATTCTTATCGGTCGTCTTCCCCTTCCTATCGGCGTGACCCCGGCCAAGCCCTTCCTGGGTTTCGGTTTCATTGTCTGTAAAGCAGGAATAATGACGGCGACTGTTGTCTGCAGTTAAGATCTAGAGAGAGCGGACTGAAGAAGAACCCTAATCCGCTTGGACAAGTCCTCAGCAAAGTCTTGGGAAGAAAGAGGAAGGGGAGCCCAGTGTGTCTCAAACAACACCTCTCCCCGCTGGGGCTGAGTCTGTGCTGCTTCTATTGCCTGGGATCCTGGGACACAAAGACCACCCACTGGAATGCCTGAGTCAGGGCACCCATATGTGATGGGCTCCCAACTTTCTGGAGACCTTGGGCAAGCTCCTTCATCTCTTCCTGCCTCCGGTCTCCTCATCCAGAAAGTGGGGCAATTCATCAGAAAGCTCTCAGAAGCCTCCTCCCTGGCCATTTCCGCGAACCTACATCTGCAGGGAGGGGCAGTGGCAGCTCAGTGGTAGGATGCTCCCCTTCCAAACGCGAGATCAAGGTTCAGTTCTTAACCAGTGCAGCTCAAACACAGGCACCAGCCTTAGCGCAGCAGGGATTGCATGCACCATCCTCAGCTCACCCTTGCGCGCACCACCCTTAGCAGGCACCCCCCTTAGCGCAGCAGGGATGTGATGCTGCGCAGATTTCAGCAGAGCTCCCAAACTAAGTCTCGGAAGAAAGGCCTGATCATCCATTTGTGGATATCAGTCGGTGAAAAACGCTATGACCCACAATGATCTACCTCACTGCCCTAGGGTCACTGAGAGTCAGGGGCTGGCTCAAAGGCGGGGAGCAACAGTAGGAAATAAGCAGCAACCACTGCCATAGGGAAAAACCTTCGTGCTATCAAGTTGATTCAAGACTCATGGAGACCCTTTAAGACAGAGTAGAACTACCCTTTGAGGTTTCCAAGACTGTCCATTTTTATAGGAGTAGGCAGCCTCATCTTTCTCCCATACAGTGACTGGTGGTTTTGAACTGCTGACCATGTAGGCACTGTGCCACCAGAGCTCCTGGTGACATAATGGGTTATAAGTTGGGCTGTTAGTTGCAGGTCAGCAGTTCAAACCCACCAGCTGATTCATAGGAGAAAGATAAGGCTTTCTTCTCCCACAAAGATTTACAACCTCAGAAACTGACAGGGGCCATTCCACTCTGTGCTGTGGGTCACTGTGAGTCATCATCAACTCAGTGACAGTGGCTCGTGGCAACCCTGTAGGACAGAGTAGAACGGTCCCTTTGCGTTTCCAAGGCTGTAAATCTTTGTAGGAGTCGACAGTCTCCTCTTACTCTTGCAGAGCATCTGGCAGGTTCTAACTACTGACCCTGTGGTTAGCAGCCCAAAGCACAGCTTAGTATTCCACAAGGGCTCCTTTCAAATGCATAAGGTGGGCGCAAAATCACAAAATATCTTGGCTGACCCCTGGAAATGTCTGACCCAGCCTCCTTGCATGGCTGCAGTAAATGAGACCCATGCTGGCCCTGCCATTACGGGGCCACCGTTCTCTCGGGTGAGCATGCCATTGCAGAAATCACCGTTCCTGGATTCAGGACTGTTGATGCCACTTCTTTACCGAGTGCCTGCTCTGAGCCCGACATTGTCCTGGATCCTGGGATAAAGTGAGCCTTAAGGCAGGCTTGATTCCTGGCTTCCAGGGTATATTGCAAGAAATGATTTGAAGAAGGAGAGTATAACAGAAGTACCAAGGAGAGCCTCCTTGGGGAAGTGGCCTTTAAGCTGAGATCTGAAGAATGGGTTGGAATTGGTTCAGCAGGGGATTTTGTGGGAAGCAGAGCCAGAAAGACAGTGTATGGGGACACATTCTCTATGTCCATATGTGAAGGAGTCTGGGAGCCCGGGGGTCCCAAGGAAGGAGACCTTCACGTTTGCAGGTTGGAGATGTGTTCCACTCACATTCTCCTAAGTAAAAGTTATTACCCATGATGTCTCCCCGCCCCCCTCCTATAATAATGCCAATTTTAAGGTGCTACTTGCAAGCCCATGGTTGCTGCAATATAAGCATGAAGGTTACCTGCTTGAAGGCTATTTGCCTGATGGTATCAGCCATCAAAAGCAGTCAGACCATCTAACCATAAGTATGCCCCACTCCCTTCTAATATGGATCACAGATGGGTCCCTTGGAGAAGAGCTCAGAGACACCTAAGGTCAAGCCAACTCACGGAGGACCACAGTTAGTTAGACCGCCATCTTCACTCGAGAGCCCACCCATCCTGTTAGGTCTGTGCCTTCCTGTCAGATGGGTGCCTCTGGTGCCTCCCCTTCCTACTGCGTGCATACCCCTAGCTCGTCCCTCTCTGTCACATGTTACGTGTATGCCTCCATTACAATCCCTTCCTGTAATGTATGTAAGCACATATTACGGCCTCATTCTAGTTCTGGTCTCCATTGGAAGAGGTGAGTCCCTGCATGCCTTGTCTCATGTCCCTTTAATGTACCCCTCAATCACACACCTGCCCCCCTTAGGACCCATCTGGATGAGGGCCTGGGTCTCACAGGGTTGGTTGGGTTTTTTTTTGGGGGGGGGGGCCGGGGGGGCGGCATTTCTGAAGGTCAGCAAGGGGAAGTAGAGTGGCTAAAGTACCCAAAGAGAAAGCAGACCAGGAGGTGCCATGGTGAGGTGCCCTGCTGCTAACCAGAAGGCAGGCAGTGCGAACTCCTCGGTCACTCTGCAGGAGAAACTGTGACAGGCTGCCTCCCTCAGGACCACAGCCTTGAAACCCCATGGGGCATCTGTCCTGTAGGCCTCCCCTGGGTTCAAATAGACGCAACAGCAATGGGTTACCAAAGAGATCCTTGTCAGAGCGGTCACCAACCCCCCACAGGGCTCTGAGCCAAGTGGTCGGGTGTCATGAATGAGAGCGGCAACCATCCAATGCCTTCGGTTGTGAGGCATGAGGACAACCACGTCCTCTCTGTGATGCGCCTTCCAAAAATGCAGGACCTGACTCCAATCCCCTGCAAACAAATGCCAGTGGGGCCCACTTCTGCAAGAGCCGGGGTGCTAGCGGCTAAGTGCTTGGCTACTCACCCGAAGGCTGACGATTTGAGTCCACCCAGAGGCACCCTGGGAGAAAGAACCGGCAATCTGTTTCTGAGAAATCAGCATGGAACACCCTCTGGAGGACCCTTCTACTCTGAGACATGTGGGTTACCATGAGCCAGAATCACCTCAATAGCTACCAGCACCCCCGCCACCGCTGCCAACCTGCAAAAAGGTCAGTTTCATGAAAACAGAGACCGACTGTGGGACTGTCCCAGATACGAGGATACTGCAGACATGGGACCCTCGTGGCCATGTTTGAGGCCGTTGGCCAAACCCAGATCTGAACTGTTTACTCGCTAACAGGACTGCATCGGTGCCATGGCATCGTGCTTGGGAAGGCAGAGGCTCAATGGACAAAAGGAAGACCCCCACGGAGATGGATGGGCACCATGGCAGCAACAGTGAACCTAAACGCTGGGATGACTGTGAGGATGACCCAGGAAGGTGGAGTTTTTCGTTCTGTTGTAAACGGAGTTCCTATGAATCACAGCCACCTACACGCCGCCTAACAACCACCACCACCTGTGCCGATGTCACAGTTCCGGGTTTGACACAAAGTCATGGTTCCTTGATGACAACTAATAACAATGAGGTCAGGAAAGCCTAGGTAGAACTTTAACATGATAAATAAATAAAAGCACCCCCCATCACCATGAGCCCAGTCTTGGGAACGGCAGCTCCCAACCCTAGTTGATCCCCTAGCCCCACGTAGACTTTCCTCTAAAGGTAAAGAAAATACCTCTCCAGTGTTGGGGACGTTGACGATCTTTTTGGACTGTGCCACGTGGCCCACCACACCCATGTCCAGAGGGAAGACAATCTCCGAGTCAGGTACCACCAGGCACTCCTCCAGGACTGCATCCTTGTGGACGTTGAAGAGTCTGGTGGCCAGTTCCGGGATGCCGTTGCGAGTCCTGTACATGAACAGGCTCATGCGGTCTGCCTGTAGGAGGAAGCATAGCTTCTTCATGACATTGAAGACGGATTTCTCGGTCTGCAAATTCTCCTGGAAATCCCGCAGGAGGTCAAAGATGATCTCACTCTCTTCCACGCTGCTCAGGGGGTGATAGGTGCTGAAGTCCACAGCTGCCTCTTTGGCCCCAAGGAGGTCTGAGATGACCTTGCCCCGATAATGGAGGTTGTAATATTGTTTGGCAAAGCCAACATTGGAGTCCAGGAACTTCTCTACTTCTTCCTCTGTTACTTCCCCCATGGCTGGGAATTCAACCGGCCACTTGCGTGGAGGGGCTGAGACGGGCAGTTCTGCGGTCCCAGCCAATCAAGTCAGAATGCACACCACTCCAGGGTGGACTTCGCTGGTCTTTGTGAATCTCATGGGGATGGTCACATAAGAGAGGGAGTCAGCTTGGGGGATTAAGTCATTAATATTGCCCAAGAACAAGGATTATGAGGATCAGTGCGTTCCAGACACTGCTGGGCCCCAGCTGGGATCTGTGAGAGTTCTCTTTTTGACCTTGGTCTACTAACAGCGGAGACGTAGGTGGGCTATCCCACCAAAAAAGGGGAGGCATCCAAAAGTCTAGCATTTAATATTTAGGAGATTTGTTTGCCTCCTCCTGGAGGGTCAGAAGATGTAAAAACTCTCGCCTGCATTCCTCCGTGGCGGGATGGCTGCGCTGGATGTGACTGTCGCTCTCTCTGCCACATGCGTGGTCAGTTTGCACATTCATCACACGGCCTCTCAAGCCTGCCCTCTGGAGCGAGATTTCCCAGTCTCTGCGTTAATGTCTTTCCCAGCTTTAGAGTTCAACGATGCACTAATTTTAGAATTCTAAGTACTCTCATAAGAGACCTCTTTTATAATTTTTCTTTTATTAAAAAAGCAAAAAACAAATAAAAATTAAAAAGCAATATGTATCTACTGTTGGAAATATACAGTAGAACAACAGTTAAAATCAGCCCATGACCCTCTGTCTTAGTTACCTAGGGCTATTATGAAAGAAACACCACAGGTGGATTGCTCAACAAACAGGTCGGGGGCTAGAAGTCTCTGTGTGGCCTTGGTGGAAAGTCTTGTTTCTCTCCAACACCTCCTTTCAGGGAGATTTTTCATGTGTCTTGGCATCAGTGTCTCCTCTCTCTCTCTCTTTCTCTACAATTTGAGTGAAATTTTACAGAGCAAATTAGGTTCCCATGCAACAACGTATACATTTGTGTGTGTGTGTGTGTGTGCTTCAGAGAGAGAGAGAGAGACAGAGAGAAACATAGTAGTTGTAATTTTCTCGATGTAACAATACTCCTGCTACTTCTTCCTTGGGCTTTCTCTTTCCATTCGTCTTTTTCCCTGTCTCTTCCTGCCTTCTGAGTTTCGTTTTGGGGGGATTTTCTTCTTTCTTTTGGGAGGGTGGGGAAAATGCTCCTCTTTTGGTCCCACATGGTTGTGGGGTGGTGACCCCCAACCATAACATTATTTCCGTTGCTACTTCATAACTATAGTTTTGCAACTATTATGAATTGTTATGTAAATATCTGATATGCAGGATGTATTTTCATTGTTACAAATTGAACATAATTAAAGCATAGTGATTAATCATAAAAACAATATGTAATTATATATTGTGAAATATTTATTTCTAATTACAAATAGATGAATTTTGTCTTGAAGCATGGTGTAGCATGGATAACAGTTTTAATATAACAATAGTAAACTACGTCGCTACATTTTGCAACAGTGTAAAAAGCCAAAATCAGAACATCAGAAATGTGTTTTCCAATGGTCTTAGGCGACCCCTGTGAAAGGGTCATTCAACCCCCAAAGGGGTCACGACCCACAGATTGAGAACCATTGCTCTATAGTGTTACAATGAGTTGGAATCTAATTGATGGCAGTGGGCTGTTGATCATGTTCTATTACTTTTTAATATCATTTCTCAAACGCAAGCTCTTTGAGGTTAGTAGGAAAATACTAGCCACTGTTTGATGACCCAGTCTAGGTGCTTTCCCCTCAGAATGCCCACCATTCTGTTAAGAATATAAGGATCTGTCTTGTAGGAAAATCGATGTTTACCTCATTTTTCAATGTCAGAATTTTTAATCTGTCAGACTATGGAAGATAAGTTGTTCACTCTTAATTATTTGTTAGAGAGGAATAGTAGAGCTACTATTTGCACTGGTTCACCTCCTAACATACCTCTTTTGTTTTCAGATGTTAGTGGAAAAATCCAGGAAATATAATTTTAAAAGACAAGAAGCTTCTTAACTTTGGGGACGATGGGAGAAGGGATGGGCTGCCGGCAGGTTTGGGGAGATGGTTTCTAGCTCATAATGGACCATAGGACAGAGTAGAATTGCCCCTTTCAGCTTCTGAGACTTTAAATCTTCGCAGGAGTAGATAGCCCCATCTTTCTTGCAAGGAGCAGCTGGTGGATTCAAACAGCTGATTTTGTGGTTAGCAGAGGAAGAATCCACAACTAGGCTGTTTTAGCAAACTAGCTGCCATTGAATTGATTCCAACTTCTAGAGAGGCCCCATAGGACAGGGTGGAATTGCCCTGTGGGTTTCTGAGACTGTAACTCTTTACAGAAGTAGAAGGCCTTGCCTCCCACAAGCCCTGAGGAGGCTGTTGCAACATTCCCAGAGGAATGAGGAACTGATTTAGGAGGGAAGTGGAGAGAATGGAGATGCGTGAGTGGGCCTAGACACAGGGTGGATGATATGCCTGCTGCCTGGGAGGGAGGGCTGGGGAACAAGAAAGCTTGTGAGTTTGGGTCATCTGTGTGTCACAGGGCCTGTAAGAAAGCCAGCACGGAGTGGCCCCGTCAGGACACTCCATTGACCTTAAATGTTTACTACATTCCTTGTGGGAGGCCTGCCCCTCCTGGCTTGCCAAATCCCAAGCCTCTGAAACCAGAGAAGGAAAGAGCTTCCCAGGCTCCCTCGCTTGTACTTGGAACTTCCTAACAGCCTTGCTGGTCTCCACCCTCCTGTCATATTTACCTTGGCTCACTCTCTTTATTGCATTTGTCTTTGCCCTTGACCTAGAGTTGATATCAAATCCTAGTATCCTGCTACCTGTTGATTTAGTGACTTTTCCAGTTATTTGGGTTTCCTGTTGCTTGGCTCGTCTATGAAGGACTTTGTTTTACTTTGTGGGTCTCGGGGGCCATGGATGAGCCATGGAAACGTGTGTCCTTATGTGCAATTTGACCTGAGGTGCATTTTTCTGAAGCTCAGGTACTAAAAGGTATCTGTAACTCAAAAAAAGAAAAGAAAAGTTAGGAGTCCTTGAGTAACACTGAAAAGTCAGGTAACATCAAGTCCTAAATAGAAGCAAGGCACGAGACACACCTGAGCTTTGAGACCAGATGTGACTCACTGCAGAAACGGTGCAGGAGCCACATCGGACCTCCTCTGGCTACACTGAGGAGCAGTGGAATTCACCTCCACGCCAGCCCAAGGCCGACGGTACACGGCCTAGGTCAGACATGCCTCCAGGCTCCTTCTCTCTTTACCCTTTTCTGATACCAACCATCCCTTCCTAGACACTCGACTTTTCTCCCAGGTTTCATAACCCTTTGCAGCGGCCTCATAGACAACATGCACAATTATGGGGCTTATTGGGGAAGCTCACAGGTTACCACAAACCAGGACCAGAAAATATTAAGCATACCGTCATTGGTCCACAGGGATACCTATCTTTGGCCAACAGCCAGCCAAGTTTCTCTCACGAACTTTCAGCCTTTCAGCCACATGGACACTTAGCCTCTGCCTCTATGGGCCAAGACGCTGCCTACTGCATCAATTCACCGTGTCACAGTCTCAGGGTGTAGCCCCTCTGCTCTGTCTCAATGTGATTCCACAGCTCTATCCCATGGTCTCTGTGCCGTAGCCTCTGTGGGCTCTGGTCTTGGCTTCTGCCACTTCAGGCAGGGATCTCGAACATGCTCCCCTGGTATCCCTTCTTCCTTGATGGTCCCGGGATTCTGTCTGTTCCTGCTTCTGAGATGGCTCTCTCAGACACAGAGGAGTAGCAACTAAAACGGACCAATCTCCTCTCTTAGTCTTTCAAGCATCCTATTTTCATGGTCCCATCCAATCATTTGGTAAGGATACAGAGCTATCGATAGGTGAGCCATATTAAGAAGTTTAAAAAAGCACTTTTTTTAGAAAGAGAAATTTTATTTCACCACATTTATAAACTCTCACTTTGCAATTGGGCAAGTTTCTTAACCTCTCTGGTTGGTTTCTTCGTCAGTACATTGTAGATACCAGTGATATTTATTTTATAAAGTTGCCATGAGGATTAGAGGCCGTATGATAGCTAAAATTTCATGTCAACGTATCTGGTCCGGGATTCTCAGTGATTTGGCAGTTAGACCTAGTCCTCCCCACAATGAGATCTAACACAATATAAGCATGTCCATTATGAGATCTGCTTTGAGTAGCCAGACAATTGAAAAGCAGTTACCTTATGTGTGTACCTGCTTCCCATGTAAGTGGACACCGTGGGAAGACTTGCTTGCTTTTGCTGGTTTACATTTTGCAGCAGGCTCATTAACGTCTGCTTCTTTGGGTTTGAGCCAAGAGCCTGCCATATTGCCTGCTGATCCTGGGAGCCATCTGACCTGCCAACCTTGGAGCCATTCACCTCCGCAGCCACACACCTGGCATGTTCCTTCGGAAGGGCTCATTGGCCCTTCAGCTGCTCATGTAGGAGGAGCCTCCAGCCTGACTTTTGACCCAGATTTGGAACTTGCCAGCATCTACAACTATTTGAACCATTTTCTTAATATAAAACTCTATCTCTCTATCAAAAACTCTCTATACTAGTTTTGCTTCTCTAGAGAACCCAGCCTAAGACAGATAGTTTTTGTAGCAAACCTGGTTGGTTGGTGGCCAGCTCTCAATAAATGTAGTTCAAAATGAGAGTAATCTGAGCTAGGTAAGTGGCAGTGATGTTTTGTGGAAAGCAGAAGTAATGCAACGATACCTACTTTTCTATTTTTGCAGCCAAAATATTTATTTTTCTCTTCATAAAAGGTTTCATTGTGTTGTAGAAAACTGAGAACATTAAAGTAACCAAAAAGAATACATGAAAACTCATCATCCAGAGAAAAATTTGGTGGAAACTCTATTTTTCAAACATATTAATATCATTTTTAAAATGAAACAAAATTTAAACAAAAATGTATTATATTTAACAATATGTGTGGACAACTTTCTGTGTCATTAAATGCTCTTTTACCACCTGAT